AATTTACCTACAATTTATTCATAATATTAGTAAAGTAAAAAGTGTCAACTAATGTGAATACTTAAAATGAAATTAATTATTATTGAATAGTGGACCAGTATTCGAATTCTGAATGAGTATTTCGTTTTGCGTAGGACTTATCTGCTAGAAGATGCACCTGAATTTCAATGTTGATATTCATATGATGAAATCCAAACTCGACACCTACCTCTCACTTTAAATATTCACGTGTTATTCACTTAGCCACTAAGTTCATATGACTATTAGATAATGAAAAAGTATTTTAAAAAATAGACAATACCTAGTGATGTGAAACAATAAAAACACTAGATGATGTTGCACGTACCGATTTATTGTTTTCTGTTAGGACCCGAGGAACACAATGAATGGTAACGTTGGGATCCATCTATGGATCAATACTATACGTATATTTCTATCGTATAATTATTAGGTAACTAAATGTTGTTTCATATTTTATTGGTACAATGTGGTCTGTTTGATTGGTATATAAACTCAGTATGTTTGAAATATAATGATTCATATTACAGAGGCTGAGACTGGTGTTCTGGACTTAACTGGCTGGGCTAGGCGGAAAACAGGGCTAATCAGAACTCTAGGCTATTCTCACGTGTTTTACGTATCTTTGGTCCGATCGATAAGTCACTGCTCTCTCTATCGGCGATCACAAGTTATAACATTTTCCAACTTTAACATGTAAACCAATGAAATAAGGAAATTCACTTCCATATAATGGTTAAATATATAAATTTTTCGAAGGTATATACCACTGTTAGTCATGCAATAATTTTTCGAATATATATTAACTATACAATGGCTTTCACATAAACATAAATGTACCCAGCTGATTACAATTTGAATAATCAGTTGCTATTTTCAACCAATCTGTTGATTTGAATTCAGACGAATTATTCACGAGGTCGATAAACAGAAGTAACCAGCTTAGTTCCGATTTTTTTGGGAAAGTTGTTTAAGTTACATTACAGTTATGAGAAATCTAATGCAAATTCTGACACTTTATGATAGATTTCTTTTCTTCAATGACAAACCTAAATATACCATTTTCAGGGTAGAAATTAAAACAAATATTTCTTTGAAATGTAATCATTCTTTCCAGAAAAAACTAATATATACCCCTATCCATGTACTGTGTAATTCAGGTATTCACATGAATAGTTTAGATCATCATAGCAGAATGATAGATAACTTACTTGAAAGTCAATATTAAATATTTAAAAAAGAATAACTGGGACATCTTATCTACTTAAAAGTACTCCACACTACATACATCACGATATTTTAGGTTACTTACTGGTAAATGAAACATTTTTACAAGAATTTGGACTAAATCTGACTCCCAGAATTATAATGACTAGTTCTCAATGATATCCTTTCCCCCCCCCCAAAAAAAAGCAGACACTACTTAAACACCTATGCGTTTTACACTATATTTTCAATAGTTCGAATGATAATAACAATTTTGCACTCTTTTTTGAGGATTGAGTAGAGTTATTGATGGGGTGGGTTATAGTTTAAGTTTGGTTGGAGATAATTTCACATATTCCACATATTCCATTGTTATATTGAAACCATATAGCTTTAACTCAATTATAATATAAACATTAATCGTTTACTGACAACAGTGAACGACAATATAAACTAAATAAAATGTAATGACAGTTTACTCTGACCAAGCACAATTTAACACAACACTAACAATTTGAAAGAACAGAACACTAATTATATCTACCTAGATTGAGACCGTGGATATTTACCTTGTGTAATTTTAGTATAATGTTTGCATAGAACAACTGTCCAATTTAAAAATGAACCAGAAGCATATGGAGTAGCACAACCATTTCTAGTTTCATTATTTGTTTCCAATGATGATTGTACAACTGTAGAATCATTATTCAATAATGATTCTGAAAATGATGATGATGATGGAAGACCGGCCAAATAAATCAGACAGGAATCAGCAACATCAGTGAATAAAGAGAATAATGATTGTAAAGCTTCTGAATAATTATGACATTTCTATGAATTAAGAACAAAAACAAGAAACATCACACATAACAACAAAAACAGTGAAAAAGAAAACAATCATAATTGCAGAATAACATCATATAAACCGGTGGATAAAAACTCACTGGTCGATTTGAATGTATGTATTAAGTCTGTTATTTTTGTGGAATCATCGATGACTTCCACAGTTAAAAGAGTCTCATACGAAAAAAAACTTATTTACACAAGCAAGTGGCTATCAGGACTCAGTAGCTGAGTGGATAACGCGATGGCATTTGAAGTGAATGGTACTGGGTTCGAGTTCCAAAGTGAACATCAACTCTAAGATGCAGGTACATCCAGCTGACGAGTCCCAAATAGAACAAAACGCGTGTCAAACTGGATTCCACTGCTAGCCACTATCTATCATTGCTTACAAAACTTATTTGGTTTTTTCTAGATTTCTTTCAACGTGTTTGTCTAAGATTAGTCTGTGATGTAGACTATCAAAATAACACAGTATAGATGCATATGTGAACTTCCAATTAGTAAGTAACCTTATTGTACTACTCAAGAATCAAACAAGTGAAAATTATGAAATTACAGTTTAGAATATTGAGTTTTACATTGACAATATTTTCCAGTACTAAAAAATGAAGCATGGAAAATAAGAATGACACATTGTAAGGTTAAAGTAGATACTTGCATCGTTTATATAAATCTACTTTGAATACGACAAATTGAAAATTCATCAATAAAAATAACTGATTTTCTGTGATGATAAGGAATTTCATTAGGAATTAGTCGGTTTCCAGAGAAAAGTCAAACAATCTACGATAATTCTCCTATTCGTATGGAATGTGTAATAAAACGTTTATGCATTACAAAGTATAGTTTGCCTTCAGCCATCTGAAAATCGACATTATCAAACCTATGCTCCAATTAGACACACACAGAGCGAGAGAAAATCGTCAGGGACCAAGCAAATTATGAATGATACGTTTCTTTTTTAAAGAATGTCCGAGTGTTCAATCAAGAGAAATTTGTACTTCTTCACCAGATACACATTACCTGTTAGAATTTCTAGGATAAATATCATGACCGCATCTATTCTCGACTTTTATTCAATATGAAACCGTGTGGTGTAAACAAGTTAATAAAAATTATAAGAATATTACTTCATTTAATAATAAATATATTTTTATAGCTCATTGTCATTGCTTTATTTAGTTTTAATTCGTAAATTTGATTTCACGATAAGTCTATATATATGGTGGGTGCTACCTATGCTTGTAGATATAAGTGGAATGTACGACAAAAGAAGGTTGAATTGAAAAGAACAGGAAAAAGAACATAGATCAATTGGAATAATAACAGAATTGGATCATGAAGTATGTTAAAAGCAAATAGACTAAATCAAACCGAAAGGCATTTGAGAGGATCTAATGGTGTCGCAGCACAGAGAACAGATAATGGCTACCGTGTACTGCAACTATGTTCAAACAAGCGTTTGCTTCCAGCAAACACCAACTTTAGATATAGGAAGAAACATCATCTGACGTGGCGAACTCCGTAATCAATTTAGCGATGGACTTAAAAAGACTAAATTGCTATCAGACATTGTTAAAGGGTTTCGATAAGAGACTGTAACTCATTCTGAAACACATGTTCAGACTCAAATCATGCTCTAGTTTGAGCACGTATTTGTCTGCGTCTTACTGGATGTAGAAAATCTAAAGAAATAAAATTTCATTAAGAATAGGGGATATATGTAGGTTACTAATATTTGATCACAGGTGTCTTTGAAGCATTGCTCGTGTATTTTGGGACTACACATATTTCATTCAGTTCAATAATTTAGTGTAACTAATCAAACATGTTAATGTTAGATAAGATAATGTAGAAGTTAATTGTCTTGACTATTAGTGAATCCACAAACTCTTCTCTAAACATAGTATACAATAATAAATGTTTGAAACAATATGGAGGGAAACAAAGATGTGTAGTGTCAGTTATTATGCCAAGCCCATATACCTTATTCTAGCTTCCGGACATCCCATTCTATTCATTCTACTCGAGCCGTACTTTGGACCTTGTTATTTATTCGCTTATCAATCTAGACTGTTTTTATATGAGCGTATATGTGTGTGCCCTTCTTATTCCATTGATCACATGTCTGTAGCTTTATTTTGTCTGACTATAAATATTGAGTAACGCTTGACTAAAATGGAGTTGGCTTCCCAGCCATCTTCCCTGCGTGTCATTTTGCTCTGTTCTATTACATTCACTTTACATACAAAATAAATGTATTCAAAGGCCATTCTCGTTAATTGACTTATCTAAATTACGTTATTGACTAACGTGATTTAAGTCGACTATGATATACGAGAATCAGCGATAGCAAACATTCGTACAATCTAAATAGGAGTCAGATCAAACGGGCCACTAAAGATGTCTATTTGAACACTCAAAATTAACCGATTCCATTTTGTTACACAACTTAATCTATCAGATATTTTTTCCGACGGTGGTTAGGTCAGCTAAATTACTTTGTTAAAATTCAACTTTACTCAAATCCACTGTTATAAAGTCATTTACATAAAATATACAGACAAAGAAGAAAAACATGAGTACTAGGTAATATTCTTACCAACACTAAATAATTTGCACTATGTGATAAGAATGGACCTAAAAGACCATTCCAAACTAATGAAACTAAATCGGTAGTTGAGTTACTGTTTGTTGCTATTGATCCTACAGCACGTGAAACACCTCTTAAAACAGCTGTACAATTAACCAACATATTAGTGGATGTAGAATCTTGAAGTGAACTGAAAGACGCTTCATCATGGGTAAGAACATTGATTACACGAAGAACATGTTCTCGAATCTCGCGGATAAGCTAAAATTCGGGACGAAATGAAACAAATAAATAAGATTCAAATTTGACGATTCATATTTCGGCGTGAATCTATTTGATAAACACATCAAGATATTGAAACAATATAAACTCGAGGAACTAGGAAAAATATGAATTAAAGTCGGTTAAGAACAATGTGTTTTGATGCTTATCTCGTTGAGATTATTATCACTTGTTTAACTGCTTACAAAAACAACTCAACTGTGGATTAAACAAAACGTGTGTATAAGCTGCAGGTGAAACACTATAGCACCTCACTAACACTTGAGCTTGTATACGTTCGACCTTGTTAAGCCCTTCAATTAACGTAGTGTCATCAGAACAGTAACGATATGTCTATATCTTAACATTATTATTATTATTATCGTGACTGCATGAGCGTGTAGCCTTAGTCACATGTTACAGCTTACACAAATCCCTCTTATTACTTAAATAGCTCGATGAATCATTCTCTTACCTATATATGGTTCTCTCTGTCTCTTAAATCTTATCAATGCATTCGTCCTAATCCGCTACTATTCACGTTTCTACTCAAATTTGTTTTGTGTGCTTGTGGCTTTGTGACCTGCTCTCTATAATAATAAACTGTAGTCAAAGCTTTGTGTTGTCTTCTGAAATTTATACACCATCGGGAGTTAGTTATTTTATAACGACTATCGGGACGAGAGATATACACGAAGACTTAGGAATTATCTCGAATATAAACCACTACAACCCTATGGACAAATAATTATAATACATAACTAAAGTGTTACATTCGTTGAAGCCAGCCATGTCATATACAACACTCAACCTAGAAAAACGAAAACAACGGTTATGTCATCGTAAGTTTGATTCATAAACTTATCATTTAATATTGATATATATTCAGAGAGTCAACCTAACTACAGAAATGACCTATTGATTTATATTCAGAGAGTCAACCTAACTACAGAAATGACCGTAAAACTAAACAGAACAAAACATATACCTGAAGCAGCAAAGTATCGGAGACATCTTCATTACTTTGATGCTGCTGCTGAACTAATGCCGATGATGATAGTTTTGTTTTATCAATTGCCCAACTACCGCATAAACAGGCTTCAACTAATTGAATTAAACTATCTGTCGACAAATTAGGCCATGTGTGTTCTGAAGCCTGAGGACCAGCGACAAGCGTACATATGTCATACCACGCGGAACAAGCTAAATCAGATGATCTAACTCAAGAAAAAAAACGAATGAATAGAGTAACCATTAGGGCTTTTAATTTTAGTTAAATCATTACAGGGAAACTACTACTACTATTACCGAATACACTAACCCTACAGGTCAGTTGCGCCAGAATAGTTCAATGGCAACGTCTCTAACTATGAACCTGGCTGACATGAGATCGAATCTGATGAAGAGCATCAGTTCCCTCAAGATTAAAGGTATACCTCACCGATAAGTGCCAAATAGCATGAAACCTAGGTTCAGAATATACTATTGACTACCTCCAACCACCTACCTTACTGACTATATCACCATACATTAGACCAAATAAACAATTAGAAACATACACTGGACGACACAAACTTAACTGAAGAAAATGGACTGGCTGCAACAGAATAATGTAACAATCCATACAGAAATGGGTCATTTGGTCTTTCCTTAACATGCGACAAGCAATATAACCTCCTCTATACAGCAAAAATAATGCTTCATCAGGATAAAATAGTCTTTTTATTAGAGAATAAGAATATTGAACTAGGGAGAAACAATTATTAGTCAGTTCTTGATATGTTCAAGTCGATAGTATTTTCGAATAGATCGATATTAAGACGACATTTTCGATTATTTGAAATTCGATTATGGAATTTATATATTCTGAGGGTTAAAAGAAATAGTAAAGGTAAAAATTCACTATCAATTTAACCTTTAAAATTAAAGTTAGGTAAGCTAGTGATTATTATTCAATCCCTATTTTTTTTAAAAGAACGAACTGAAATCGGCCTAGTAACTAGTGAGAACTGTGAAAATAGAAATAGCTGTTCAGTAGCTCTTTATATATGACTTCTTTGGAGGTAAATATATGTGAAATAACACAAACATTTTAGTTTAGGATCACAATAAAACAACATTAAAATAGTCGAATGAAATATTGACTATCAGTATTTTCATCTTGTCAAGCGAAGATATTATTTCCTATCATCCTTGGTATGTACAGGGATTTATCCATTCTAGTTACTATTTAATTCAACACTACATTAGTTTACAAAAAAAGTTTGGTGAAACGCAATATAAAGCTTGGTTATTGTGGATATTTTAGCTTATTACAAAAGCTTGCGAATAAGTGCTTAGTGCAATGAGATTGAAAAACAGATTTGAAGCTTAGTGAAAATACAAAAATGAAAACGATTAATGGATATAGTTAATACGTATATAATATTTGATACGTAATGGAAAGCAAATTAAAGCAATTTCGATAACGAACAACGAGGACCGACCTAGAAAACCTAATGATATTCTGTTAGACACCTTCGAGATCGAAATATCTGGAAACTGTGAAGCCAATCATTGAAAAGAAAAAGGATGATACCAATTCCTTATTGCCTGGAAGGTGGACATTTTGAAGGCACAAACTCTTTACTTTGATCCAAGATGACCCTAACAACAGATCCCATGAATCTGCTCAAATCGAAGAATTGGTAAGACAGAAACTTAACTAAAGTATGTTCCAGACAGGAGCACGTTGTAACACATTGACTGACCTATTTTTAACCCGCCAACTACAGCGGATAAGCGAAGACCCTAGAGTCTTCCTGTTTAAAAATTATAAATACATTAACATATTCTTATAGAATGATCTTAGTTTAACTTGTTCTATTTAGAAGATAATCAATTTCTTGTCAGAGCCATGTTTGAATTCGGGAACGGGTAGAGTGAAGTAAAGTGTTCGAGGAATAATAAGCAAAAGAAGAATACTGGGTCGGAGAACGAAACTCGACAAAGGTTTGATTGACTTTCTTGATTAGTAAGTGTAAATAGCATTAAAAAAACAGTCCATAAAAATTAGTGACACTTACGAATTAGGTGAATGCAAACTGAGCACACTCAATAGTCGCGTTAGTGAACTTAGTGCTTGGGGTTCGTGTGACCATTTATCTAATGCTAAACGTACACACATTAATAAACCTTGAATACAAACTCGATTTATATCATTACAACTTTCTGGCAATAGATTTTCTTTTCTCTCTGAAAGTTGATTTTCTCCGTTATATGTTTTATTTGACAAAAATACACCTTGATGTGCTGGTAATGGGTGAACAGATTCAGCTTGAAGTATTGTCATGATCGGTGATCGAGAAATATTAGACTATAACAGATCATAACAAATAAAGAACACTGATAAAGAGAATTAAAACTTAATATTTCATGAATGAAGTAAAATATCGCTATGATACTTTTTATTTATGTATTTCATCCACATGAGAAACTGGTACAAATGAGCACCAAAAATAGTACGGACCATATATTCATAGTAATAAAATTTGTTTGAAGAATAGGATACTGCCCGGGTACCCAAACCGAAGTGGGTGGTTTCTTCAGAACGCCACTTCGAGCCTTTTACGTAGATGTAAAATCCATAACGGAGTGGAGTGAGATCACGAGATGGTAGTCAGTGACTAAAAATAGGTTCATCTGTTATTCGGCCCTTCAGGATACAGGAACTAATGCACAACATTGGTCCTTATAGTAAAGATTTCCCAACTCCCAAAGATGAATCCTGTGTATCCACAACTAACTCAGTTTAAGCACTAAACATTCTCGCTTCTTCTATTAACTTTCGTAAACAACACCCTGCCACGATGGTCTAGTAGTGTCAAAGCAATCGGTTTCTGAGTTATAGGTTTCAGGTTCAAAAACAATTTCAACTAGTTCGGTCTAAACGGACGGTTAGTTTCACTAACTTCCAAACTTCAGTACATAAACCTGTTGATGAAGTTGATGAGTTAACATGTTTTTTTGAAAATTAATGAAAGACTAATGATAAACTACAGAACATGAGTAGCACAAAATTCCAAAAAGGAAATAATAGCAATTTATCTATAATATTTGGTAGTGAGAGTAAATGTGATTAGTCATTGAGTGTGGACAAAGAGGAACGCAGCTTACTGGCTATTAAATGTGCGATTTCCTTTCCTCTTATTGATTTGTACTCTGAACTTACTGGGAGTGATTGCTTGTAATTGCGTGGAATAAATTAGTGCCTAGTTTGTACTCTGATACTCTATTTTTGGTCGTGAATCGTGCATCTGATGTAGCGAGATCTAGTCTGTGCTGTTAGGATGTGCAGAAAAATATACCAATAATTATCATGTTAAGTCTAATGGTGGCCTTGGACTTTAAATGTACACTCCCTGTTGGTCAATGTTTACTTCACTTGTTAAATACTGTAAAATGTTGTTTTCTATTTTATGGTACGATGTGGTCTGGTTGATTGGTATATAAATAGTGTGTCTGAAATATAATGATCCATATCTCAGAGGCTAAGACTTGTGTTCTGGACTCGACTGGCTGGGCTAGACATGGAAGCGGGACCAATCGAAACTCTAGGCCGTCCGTATGTGTTTTCCGTGTCACTGAATCGATCAATAAAACGCTGCGCATCTAACCTGCAGTCCACACGTTACAACAGTGCATAGCGGATCGTTCGAGCATCCGATCTAGCAGTATTATAAACTCGATCATTCAGCCTAATCTTATTACCGTACAATCATAGGAACGTAGTATAACGCAAATAAAAACATTTAAATCTATCCGTCATATCAAATCTTATTTGACTGAGGAAAATAGAAAAAGATGTATAGAATGCTAAATAATTCAAGAAACCAAGCCAGTCAGTAGGTAAACTGATCAGAAACCTCAATAAACAATACGGCATCAAAATTTTACAAAACCTAGGGATCAAGTTATCAGATCAATCGACTGCAATGAATAAACTAATTAATGATATTGAACTACGGATTTCAATAAATCTGTCAGCAGAGATACAACAATTCAATATACTAACCATTAATGTATCCCGATCGACTACATTATGGCAGAAATATGTGACAGCTAAACGTGTCATTAACCAAAAATTATCCGTAACCAATTGAGCACTCCCAACACCATAAGCAGCTTGTAACCATAATAGACGGAAGAGAGAACATAACAAACTGGAAGTAAGAGAAAAGAGACAAAACAAAACGAAAAACATAATTTCATTTGGTTCATAGAGTCTGGTTTATTTCATTAACAAACAAACTAATGAAATTCAGCCCTAGAGAAGTTGAACTATGAAAGAATCCCTTTAACTAACACTATCCAATTTAACCATTTAAAAGGATGGGTAGTCTATGTTAATCACTTACGTACGTAACACGTGTCCCAGCCATCTCAACTGATGAAGTTTCACTACTTCATCAATTGATTTGCCATCCTTACCTAGTACCAGTTTCCTAACAACTGCGTTACTTACTCGATGGTCCCATGATATACGAGCAATGTTTCGAAGACACCTATGATCAAATACTAGTAGCCTACGGATATCCTCTACTCTTACCGGCCATGACTGACACATTATCATCGTATATAACTAAGCCGATACAATGGGCTATTATAAATATTTGTATTAATAAAACATGAGAAAAAAGATATTTGTCAAGTGAAGCAAATCATTTCGAGATAAGATTAACCAGATTTACTGCTGCGGAGTTAATAGAGGTCACAGTTACTAATTTCGTAACATAATCTGCTAGTCAAATTAAATCTTCAGTCTCATTAGCATAGCTAGTTTAATCGTTGTATTCGAATCTAACTTGAATGCGAAATTTATAATTTTATGAGACAACAAATTGTTCATAACTGTGAAACAAAAAATCTATTGGTTAAAAAGACGCTTTTCTTAATTATATATATATATATATCCTGCTTCGGTTTGGGCACCCGGACGGTATCACAGCCCTCACATATATCAAATGAGATCTGTGTGGCGCATATGTATTTTGTGCCTCCTTGTACCAATATCTAAGTGTTAAAATAAATAAGTAATATTACATATATATATGGAGAGAGAGAGATTTGTGGAGATTGTAGAATTTCCAAAGTTTACATGACGAACTGATCTTAGACCACCATTCAAAACGTGGACGGCCGTCTTGTTCTAGTATGAGACAACTCAATAGTGCCTGTCTACGACCTCGCGTCCGGAAAATTGGACCCAAAACCTTCGGTAAAACTAATGAACTCCTAATCTTTAGACGACAGAGCCGACATCTAATGATGTACACGCTGAGATCAGTAAAGTTCGGCTATGTAAAGTGTGAAGAAAAATTATCTCAAGAATGACGGTTGTGCAATATTGTGAATGGATTAAAACTAGACATAATTAGTAGGACAAACTAAATTGATAAACTAGTTATTCATGTTTACGATATTGTTTTGCTTTTCTGTCTATAAGGAATGAGTACCATTTAGGTAATAATGGCAAGATCTTAAGTATTCTATCAATTAAATTTAGATTGGATATCATTTCAGAGCTACTGAATTTACAAGCTGATAACTATGTGAGAATTTCTAGCCAGTATGACAGCTATAAATGGATAGATGAAACCATTGTACAATCTTTGTTTACTGCTGCTGTGATGTAATAATACTCTATTATAAAAGAAAATTAGAGAATATTATGTCAGTTAAACATAAAGAACGTAGAAGCTGAGATATATGTGCGTCGATTCAAATTGCCGCATTGTATCAAAACATCAAGATGTCAAAGTGATCTGAGCAGTAATAGCATTAGTGATAGTAGAAACGATCAGAGCACAGAAGAGATGATTTTAAAAGCAAATATGAATTCATGGAATGAGGAAATATTTTTTAAAGTAATCAAATCACTTATATGATTAATAACATAAGTGAATGAATATGCATAAGTAAGCATATATATAGGAAGCAAAATTCGGCTCACACGTCCGCGTCGTACCTGGATCGTGGAACGGATGACCCATGAACTAACGTGAGCGGTAACCCGGGTGATAGAGATCAGGCTAATCACCCACTCAACCGATACCCGCAAACCGATTACGAACTCCACAAAGAAACACAGCATAATTACTCTTGGATGGAGAAACGACAAAAAATTGACAAAAGTGATGAAAGTAATGTACGGGGTTGCTCCTTACGGAGCAAACTCTAACTGGTTGCAAAAACAGCTATTCTAGCCCCGGTAGTTGTGCCGTGTTTCGATGTGGCATGTTTTCTCTCCATAAGGGCCTAATAGGCTTCACCAAATTGTTTGGCTTGAAGGGGGGAACAAGCATATATATGTTTAAGATAACTTGGTTTCCTAAATTGTATTGTTAATTTCCTTGATTCTAACATCAACTGTTTAAAAAATTCGTTAAACATCCAGTGAGGAATAATAAAAATGTCCTTTTCTTTCTTTCAAAATAAAAGTATTTATGAAAAAAACACAAATGAAACATACATTATTAAAGAAGGAATCTGTGTATATGGTAAATTGTCTGGAGGCCAACTACTATTCATATCAGGACATTGTGCAATAGACATTAATATTAAACGACGACTATTTATCACATCAACTGTATCATTAGAACCAAGATATAAAATTTGATGAGGTATCTGAACAAAATTAAATGAAAGAAAATAAATAAACAAGAGAATATTAATTGTTTATACATAAAATACGATATACATGTCAAGTAGGTAAAGTTTGATAGTTCTATCAAGCGTATCTATATCTTAGAGGCTATGCGTTCGCGCGCGAGACGGAAAGTCTTGGGTTCGAATCCAGCGAGCAGAATCGTGGATGCGCACGGCTGAGGAGCTCCACGATAGGACAAAACGGTTGTCCAGTGCTTCCAGGTTTTTAATGGTGGTCTGACATCAATCAGTTCATGATCTCAACCAAAAACTTAATAATCTCCTCAACCCTATACTGATCTTAAGTAAATCTTGTACAGATTAATAATTGATATAAATTGGAATTTAATTCAATATTATTAACCAACTTAAAAGTTAGAAACCGGGTAGGATTAGTTAAACCAATTTGTTAGTAAAAAGGAAACATGAATAAGGTAACTTTAGACATTTTACAAAGTCAGACTTAATAAACGTACTTGAATCGAATTTCATAATTTAATTAATACTATATAGTATATAGTAATAATTATGAAAACTGCTAACACACTTACTGAGAATTGTGTATCCCATGGAGAACCCATTCGTAGAACACTTGTTAATGATGCAGGACCAGAGACAAGAAAATGTCCACTAATCAATAATAGCCAATGAATATCTTCGAATAAATCAATTGATTTTAAAGATTCACAGCTTTGTAATTGAATCAGTTGGGTAACACGTTCATTTATTAAACGAACAAGTGTAGTGACTGATTCTTCAGGAGTAGATAAACCACAAGATCCTACAGCGAATAAACTATCCTGAATAAAATGAATGAAAATGTACACAGATATAATATAGGATAATAATTATATATATATATATATATATATATATATATATATATATATATATATATATATATATATATATATATATATATATATATATATATATATATATGGTAGAACCGAAGTCAAACAAGGCTGCCTAATCTCTCCCCTTTTCTTTCTTCTGGCGGCTGACTGTATCATGAAAACCTCCACATCTGAAGAGAAGCACGGAAAACAATTGACAATTTGGATGTAACTAAAGGATTTGAACTTCATACACACGAACAAATGCAGATGAAAACAACTAGTGTAGCAGCAGCCTCTGCATAAGTAGGCCTCAATATACACAATGAAAAAGCTAAGAGCCTCAAATACAACACCAAGAACACCAACCCAGTCACACTTGATGGAGAAACACTGGAAGAGGTAGATAGTTTCACGTATCTGGGTAGCAACATAGATGAACGTGGAGGATCTGATGCAGACGTAAATGCGAGGATTGCCAAACCAAAGACAGCATTCCTACGGTTGAACAACACATAGAACTAAAAACAACTGTCAACTAACATCAAAGTCACAATCTTCAATACTAACGTCAAGACAGTTCTACTGTATGGAGCTGAAACTTGGTGAACCACCATAACCATCTTCAAAAAGGCATAAGTATTTATAAATTTATTTATATACTGGATGTCCATTGAATAGATAGCATGAGCAACAGCCTAATGTAGGAGATTACAAACCAACTTCCAGATGAAGAGGAAACTAGAAAAAGACGATGGAGGTGTAGAGGACATCATGAGGCAAGCCTTAATTTAGCGTTATGAATGGAAAGGGAAAATAGGAAGGCAAAAGAACATTTGAATCCCGAGATTTCTTCATACTTTTTTTCTTTTTTCTTTACCTAATCTCCTCTAACATTACTAATATTGTTACAATTCTTATTGCTCTGGGATTTGTCTCGAAAAAACTTTAGTCCGTTGTGTTAATTCGGTTACAACAACTTTAACCGATGTACTAATGTGTCAGGTATTATGTTGTGTACGACTGACTGACTAATTGACTGAGATAATGCAAAAAAATAAACTAACAATTTAACAGCTAACAACTACTGCTATAATCCAGTAACACAAGTACTCAAGTTGATCCATTTAATCGAGAATCACATTTTACAAAAAAAATGTAGAAGGTTAAAAGGTTAATTTGTTGAACATTCCGTCAGAAATTGCAACAAGTGACAAAACCTTTTTTTAAAAAAGACTATATATATATATATATATATATATATATATATATATATATACTCGTAATAGATTGGTGATTGTTTCTGTTATGAACCAGCAATATTTGGATAATCAATATAAATTATTGTATACTAAACAGTTAGTTCACTTTATTAGGACTTATCATTGTAATAATCGTTAAAACTTGTATTAGGATCATTTTCAAAATTCGGAAAGAGTTTGCTAACGTGAACACCAAGCAATGAAAATATTTTGTTTGGTTAGCCTTGAAAGGATAACTAGATATGTATTGGTGAAACATGGTTGTTGAATAGATTAAGACAACTCCTATAGAACTTCAATGATTAATCAACTCGAAAAAGCTATCCTCAAAGAGAATAAAATGCTAACACCGAGATTCAAACCAGCTACCTCTGAAGAAGTCATATCATCTTCATCCAATTCAAGATCTATCTCTTCATTATTATCATGACTGCAAGTTCGACGTAAACCAACCGGTTGAGCCATTTTGGATGCAAGGAAAAATTGGAATAATTGTGATTGTCGTGATGAATTACTACTTCGTAACAATCCAAGTAGCTTTTTCATTTTCTGAGCCAACTGGTCTATAGTCAAATATGTAAAACAAACAGATATTGTTGAAAATTCGAGAAAACATATTACAGGTAGACAAACAATTTACTTCTCTCATTCAAACTTCCAACGTGGCGGTTGAAAGTTTGAAAACAATAAAGTAATATATTCTTGTTCTTAAACCTAAAGTATCTACATTTAGAAGACTACATAAAGTGTTTTGTGTCACTGATATCTTGAGAGCGCTACTCGTTTTTTATTGTAGTTAAACGAATAAACAGTCAGTAAACTTAAAGACAGAAATCCAGTGACAATTAAAATAGTTTGAATATGTACAATATATGGCCAGACGACGAACTTCTTGTATGAATTAAGTAAGATGGAAAAGCTAACCACACTACACAATGTCAGATTTGTGTTGCTTAAGTATATTCCTTATGAGTAACTGTATAATTGTCTTGTTTACATTGGTTACATTATTACTACTTGATGTACCCATTATCCGTTTGACCATACCTAAATGGTAAGATAGTGAGACATCTATACCATCAAAAAATGTATACTTATTAAAACTGTAGTCCGTCGAGTGATTCGATTTTCAACCACAATATCAATAAAGCAGAAAATCGCGAGTTTGATTTCAACAACCTCTTCCCACCCCCAGGTTTCGCTATTTCAATCATCTTTATTTCACATACTATCACGAGACATGGCTTAAACTGGAAATAAAACCAAAATACATCAAATTTAATCAAAACGAAACGATGTATAACTAGATAACATAAACAATGTAAGAATTACCAGAGTTTTGTACTTGTCCAGTAGTTAAAGGCAACGGTGAATTATCTTCATCAGTAGAACCAATTGTTGTTAGATTGTGATTCTTTTGAGATCGTGCCTGTTCACTTAACGATGATGGGATTAAATCAAGAAGATCACTCCAACAGTTGAATAAACGTTCAACAGCTTCATGAGCTAACTGACCATTATCATCTCCATCTGTGGAACATTCTGTCTGTATTCGTATACACTGGAAGACAGATGGTAAGTAGCAATATGTAAATAAAGATTATCAAGTGGAAAATTATAGAAAAAACTCATTTTAAAAAGTTCTAAATACTGGGCAATTAAAAAGACTGAACTCATTGGTAATTTAAGACAGATTTTTCGAAGCAACTCCAGAAATGATATCATCAATAGTAGGAGCAACAATTTTTCTGTCTTCAAACTAATTGCCAGTAACTAGTAAATTATTATTCACCAAACTGAACTATATGGCTGGTCCAAGCCTCATGTATAATAAGACATTACAATGGGACAGTTGTACCACAACTTAAAAATCAGTATCTTGTTGATTCGCTTAGGATGACAAATTTAAATGGTACTGTGGTGTGGATTACTTATATCCATATCAGTAGTATATAACGGTGGTCAGGCATAGAGTGTATTTTAGCAGAAGATCGATAAGGAAACAACGGAAACGGAACGCAATCGGTACGAAAATGCATGAACAATGAAATCTGAGACAACGGATTGATATTTGCAAAGGGACAGTGAAGTTTGAGACGATAGATTGATATTTTGCAAATTAACTATTTACTATATGGCTCTCAGATTTGAGTGAGATGCTCTGTGATTTCATGTCAAAATATATTCAACTGTCCCCACTCGTGTTCTTGTTCACTACAGTACTATTGTTGTGTGAGCTACTTATATTGATATGAGTAGTATATGACGCGAGTTAAAACGTAGTGTCTGGCAGCAGAAGATGAGGTGAAGATCAAGAAAGAAAGAGCGAGAACACAATGGAATTTGTAAGAAAACGCATGTACAATGGAACGGGAGACAATGGATTGGTGTTTGCAACGGAAACAGTCCAGTTTGATATGATGCATTGATATTTTTGCAAATTGACGATTGACTTTATGGTATTCCGATTTTATTGAGATAGTCTGTAGTTTTGTGCTAAATACATTCGATTATCCCCACCCGTGTTCTTGTTCACTACACTATTACTAAAGATAACAATAACGCTGGGTTACACTAATAACTAAACCAGATATCAGATAAATGATGTAATGGTTATTTTATTACTTTGGAGAAAATCAAGGGCTCACATTATTTACCATTAGTAAAGTTGAAAAAATAAAAGAGCTCTCCTTGTGTTTCCTTATTTTGAGAATATTTTCGATTACTGCGCCTCAAGAATTCTCTAGAAAGTAGATTTTATTCTACCTATTTATCTTTATTCATATATACACAAATAGAAGGCAAGTAACTTGTTAGTAATAAATAAATAAAAAAACTATAATACATAGAAAAACTAACCTGTATTAATAGGGAAGAAAGAAAAGCAAAGAATTTATCCATCACCCATAAACTAATTAAACCAATATGAAACATAGACTGGCATATTTCACTAGATAAAGATTCTTGTGAGCTGAATTTAGGCAATGATAAAACTCGTTCAACAGGTTCCCATGCACGTGAACTATTCAACATTAAATTAAGTATGAATTCAGATAAGATAGATAACTCATATGGTAATAAATTTTCTAATGTTATACTTGGAATTGAACGACTATCTGCTATTCGATTAGATATTTCATTACGTATTCCTGGTATTTGATCTGTGAGCGACTCGAATGATAATTGTATGGGATCTTCCATAGGTATTTCTTTTCCTAACCAACAATTTAAATTTTCAATTAGTATTAGGTAATGCATTGTACTTGGTGAACCCAGTGATTGATTTTCATTATAATTTGATGAAGAAATTCCATTGTGGTAAGATGAATTATTATTTATACAAGTTAATGAAGAAATTGGATAAATCAGAGGGCCAGACATTAAAGAGAAGCGAACTAAACATGACAATGTTCGTGCACCAAGCAGATCTGAACCGCGAACCCATGTGTGTAACTAATGAGAAAGTATAAGAATTAACCAAGTAGAATGGCATAAATAGACAATGATGTGCGTTAGTTAAAAAAGTTACTCAAAAACAAGCGTAACAACTTTTTTAATTTAGTTACTAATAGTGGAGTTCAGCATTCAACTTGTGAGTCATAAGTTAAGTGTTAATTGTTTGTCAAATTGTGTCCACATATCCATTTATTTATTTAAATCATTATACATTCTGGTAAAATTGAACTGTCATGATGAGGGGTGTCCGAAATCTGATATTGATATACAATGTGCTAAACGCTAATCCCCGCCACACACCTGACCACTTGAGCAAGAACACAAGAGAGGATGAGAAAGCATACTGGGCTATCGAATAATATGCACAAATACTCATATATATAAACCTTAGAAAATCAATCCATTTCTTAGCCAATTATAGGCACTAGTCCTTTGGATCACTTCTGACTGATCCAAGGGCTCCCGAAAAATACACCATGCAAATAAACAGATAACATTGTGAAAGAGTAAAAGAGAAAACAGCAGTAAAATCAGTAAACAAACGAATAGGAATAACACTCATTAAGAGATACAGATCAGTTAAAGATACAGTACAGAAAGATAGCCGCCAGTTTCCAATTTCGAGCCACATCTAATAACGCTTCAAGCAACTGAAGTTTCACTATCTCTAAGACCTCAACTGGGGAGTCATAATGAAACGACAGATCCTATTCTCATACAACTTCCCTTCATAATACAGAACCATATCATAAAATGACCGCGTCTTTGCTTTTTTCATTCAGTCTCAGTGTCGAAGCTCCTGGGACGACATATGTTGGCCTGCATTTAGTGGAGAGTAGATATGTAATCAATACGCACAAGATCTGACCAAAAAACAAGTCCACACCACACAAGTCAGTCTTTTGAGGGTTTTTTACAATCTACAGAGTAGAATGGATGTCCTTATTGTTACAGTATTTCAATATACATCATTTGAAATGTCGAAGAGGTATCCAGTATGCTAATGAATTACCATAGAAGATTTCCAGGCTTTTTACTTATTTGGCTATAATGATCTGCCATTCCTTCAGCAAATAATATGCATAAATTTTGGTGGAGTTTTGTTCTCTGAGCTGGATGGTTTGGTCGTGGAGCTTTCATCGTTCTTCTGAACGACATCATCAGCACAAACTTCAGATAGAAGTGAAGTGTTTGAATTTCTCCATATGTGTCTCAAAGCTTGTTCTGTGCACCTCGACGTTGATTGGTTCTTATTGACCTTAAATTTGTCGTTGTTTACTTCTTTGTTTTGGTTGTGTCTCCCATTGTTTTGATTTTTGTTCTTATGTTTGTGCATGATTTTTCTGATTGGTTGATACATTGGATTGATTTCAATATGCTTGTTGATTGCTGATTGACCTGAGTGCCAAGCTTCTAAAAATTCTCTGGTGTTTTTGGAGTTTCCTCTGTCTAAGATTTCCACATTTTTCCAATCGAATGAGTGTCCGCAGTTGTCCACGTGTATTGATATAAGTGAAGAGATATCATGCCGTTTGACTGCTAATTGATGTTCATGTAGGCGAAGGTGAAGGGGGCGTCCGCTTTGTCCGATGTAGTGTTTTTCGCAGTTGGCACAATTTATTTTGTAGATGATGTTTGATCTGTTTTCCTTTGTTATTTCATCTTTTGGTTTGCATAAGATTGATTGTAGTGATTTTGTCGGTTTGTGTGCCACACCTATTCCGAAGGTTTTCAGCAGTCTCGTCGCTGTTTCTGATATTCCTTGTATATATGGTAGGGTGATCCTTTTGTTATCTGAAGTTTGTGCTGATGACGTCGTTCAGAAGAACGATGAAAGCTCCACGACCAAACCATCCAGCTCAGAGAACAAAACTCCACCAAACTCATCCGCCTGAGCTACAAATCTTCTCCACCATCTCAATATGCATAAATATTTTCATTAATCAAATCACCATATTAAGTAGTCATTAACATCTGCATTCTCAATAAAATAGAAAAATGAACGGTGAAGATTTACTTGTAAACACTTGTTCTGATAATAAGACAATGAATTACTACTACCACTACTACTATTCATGAATAAAACTTATACGACAGTCATATATATGGAACTAGTGCTGAGTTAAAGATTTGGAACTTTGATCTTTTATTGGGAGGAAGGGGTGAGTTTTAAGAAATGAGAACACACATAGAGGATTTCATAGTGAGGATGTATCAAGGTCATGATGACAATTAAACTAAAAACCTCTCCACAAGTAACCTAGATACTAATATATCTCAGTATACAAGCCTAAAATGTTACCAAATTACATTTATTGTCGACAGATCCCAATGGATGAAAACTGTAATGAACATTTTCACGTTGAATAAAAATAAGGAGAACTCAGTGAAGAAAATGATTTCGTCGAAAAGAAAACTCTCTTTGTTGAATTCTCTTTATTTTTATTCAGTGACACAGTGGATTATTTCAACTTTCACGTTGATAGGAAATTAACTTGGGGAAAAAATAGATAAACTATGAAGTGAGAATGTGACAGAACAATAAATTTTTTTATGTCCATGGGAAAATTGCTGAATATGTACGTATAAAGTGTAAGCTTAATTTCGTCATATGATGAGAGCAAAGTAAGTAAATCTTACAGAATATTATTTAGCATAGTAAAACGGTTTACCTACTTTAATAAATAGTAATAAAGTCCTCGGAAAGGCATCTGTTCCCATCGTATCACTCCATTTATCACTAGGACGAAAACGAGCTTCTTGATCAGAACGTCTTAATTGACTGGCATGAAAACGAATAACTGAGAGAAAAAAATAGAAAACGCATAAAGAAAATACTTGAGAACCTGAAAATATGTGAGATGAGTACAAAAATTTGTGAAAATTTCTAAGGAAATTGGAAGTCATAAGTTTTGTACGCCTACATGTTAGGAAATTTTGGAGTAAATAAGAAAGTTAGGAATTTATGCTGAAAACTAGAAATTGTGGGGGAAATATTGAGTAGATAAAATGTGTTAGATAAACAAATATTGACATGTGAAGTTCATCAACTCTGGAGTTTGTGTTAAATAGCAACTAGATGTTATGATTCCTGATTTCAATCGAACTCTCAAGTTTAGAGACAAACTAGTCGTTAGGATGGGTTATAAATCCTATAAGAGTAAAGTTGTTTTGGAACATTGTAAATAACAATTAAGACTGCAGTAGTAGAATGTGTGAGAAATTTTATTAAAATCAGAGTAAGACACAATGCAAATTTATGAAATCTTTCAATGCCAGTTTCGATAATTAGAGTTTATGATAGATTTTGTGACATACTTGATTCACAGATGTCTTAGAAATATTACTGGCATCTGCTGATATCACAGGGTAAGTAATAGTGGGGTTAGACGTAGGGTATAAGGGAATGATGGTAAATCAGTTGATGAGGTTGTGAATCTTCATCAACTGAAATGGTTGAGCCACATACTACACATGCCCAACAACCGATTACCACGACGCGCAATGCTGACTAGTGTTGGAGACGGTTGGAAGAAAGTTAGGGGTGGCCAAACCAAAACGTAGCATCAGCCCACAAAGTCACTAAATTCTAGTCTGAGCCATGTCGGGAGATGCAGACTACTTGGTTGGGGTCCGCGTGACTATCGTAACCAATGCTTGGAGACTCTGAGTGACATGGCTCAGAATCAATCACAATGGCGTAGGTGTATACACGCTCTGTCTTCCTTTAAACTATGAGATTAAAATCGTTTCATATCTTTCTACGAACTAGTTCTTTCTTTTTGTACTATGTCATCATGCCCAATGTCTCTTTTATATATTACCACCACTGAATTAACTACTTCTATGAATCCAGTGTTCACTTTGTTGTGCTAACGAGGTATGGCAACTTGGACCGATGTATATATGTGCCTGGTCCTACGTTGTAGCTGACTGACTGACGGATATTTGATTCTTAAAGCAGATTCAACACAGGACATGTTGTTAGTATACGTATATATTTTTTACTAATCTTTTCTGACCCATCATCCAAGCTACTCTAATCATAAATGACTGACTGACATCTAATAAATGGGGTAACTTTAATTACAATACTACCCGTATACATATATTCCACGTTATTCTGAATAGTTATAAAATCTAAAATTAATATAGCACAATAAACTCACGTTCACGTGGTAAGAAATCCCAACCTGTAATCATATCCAGGCAACTTATTACTCTGAATACAACTTCACTTTGTCCTTGACTTAATGCTGAACAGTCCAGTGATGACCAATAAACTAACAGTTGATTTGCTAAGCAAAGTAAATTTTTAAATAATCGTACTAGTTCATAGTCCTGATGGTAAAAAGTACAGGGTAAAACAATAATTACATATACACAAGTGAGACTGAACAATTGTTTACAGGGAAAAACGAAACTGAATATACAATTACATCTATCAGCTATGTATAGAACGGAGTTTACTTGCTGTACGAATCAGTAAATATGTGAACGTTTGCACAAAACAGGGTTACACTTATTACGAATCATAACGATATTCAGTTGGTCATAATTGACAAACAGTCTAGAACAAATGTGCGTCAGTTCAAGTTCCTATACCGCGGCAGGATAAGAAAATGAATAGTAGAAGAGTCGAAATAGTGCTAGGATCAATAATAGTAAGAAAGATTAAACAGTGAAGAACAGGGTTAGAATGCGATAACTTCAGTGGTGTGTAAAATATGAACTCGTAAACCAAGTGATAAACTTGATGGAATACAGTGGATAACTTTACTAGCTTTATTTAAGTCAACTAGATATCCAATATCCACCGAGTGAGCGACAATAGAACTCTCAGTTATCTTTATTAGCTGTCCTTTGGTCAGCCAGTCAAATTGAATACCATTTTCTATAACTGTCCGATGATGATGAGTACTAACAACAAAGAATGACTGAATTCGCCACATCTTTATATGTTTATTAAATCAGTAGGGCCTGTGGAACCAGTTATATAGAGCTTACAAGCCTATTATTGAGTGAATAAATCTACTTTGTCAAATGTTTTTACTTTTGTGTTCCTACAAAATTCTAATTTTTGTATCTTTATCTTCACGTAACTACTATTAAATTCAATTTTCATCAAAGTGTGTTGTTGATTATCGTATTATATACAATACAATCTGACAACCGCTGATCTACATGTTTACAACTCCCACGACTAATTACTTGAATTATTATGATTATCTCACCCTACCTCTTTCAGTTACTTAGTTAATCATTTAAAATTACTACCATAATCACTTGTGAAACTGTAACGCTATTGTATAACAATATTTCGCAATCAGTAATATCATGTCATTATATATAGAGTGTGAACTCATCATGAGAAACTAGTTGAAAAATATTTTTCGCTCTATTTTTCTTTACACTAAACAACAATTAGACCAGTTCTACGACATGGAATGACATTGCCGATAGATATTAATCCAGTAATTAAGGGGGACCACTTGTCCTGCCGTCGTTTATCGGACGAGATGTACATTCCTAATGAAAAACTATAAATAGGAATACCAGTATAAACACATTTCAATATTCGGTGTTTTAAAGAAGCTCGAATTACTAGAGATAAACATATAGATTCAAAGTAAAAAAAGATGGTTGGATAAACTGAGGTCCTGGATCCAATCACTTGGAAATAAAAGCTCAATTATGAATAATTTGAAACTAAGGCAAATACAATTCCAGTATATTCATCAACAAACCATCTTTAAACAAAACCGAATAATACACGAAGACGTAGATACTTTCAAAACAGTTGACCTATCACAATATACAGCATAGTTTTAGTGGTTAGGGTCTACAATCAATTGGTGAACTAGACACTCCAGGATCTCTATTCATCAAAATTATCAATGACATGCAATTTGATTTATTTTATAAGCAGCAAATAGAATTCATATGAATAGAAATTTTTCCCGAAAGAACAATGACTAAACTTTTTTAAAATGCTTGTTGACAGAAAAAAATTGGTATACCTGAAATCTAGCTCGAAGGAAAACATGTGCTTCCAATGGCATATTCAACTGTGCACTGTCTTCGGAGTAGGAAAATTCATCCAATAATGCAGACAATATAAACAGACCTAATAATCCTCGTTTAAAAATAGGTTCCTAAAAAGAGGGTAGAATTCAAAATCCATAACAAAGGAAAAGTATGATGCAAAAGGATGAGAATTATTAATATAGGAATGCAATATATTAGTCACATGAACCCCGACTGACAGGCCATTTTGTAATTCCAGTGAACTTAAATAACAACCTCTTAGTTGACAGATGATCATAAAATGGTTTTTCTAAATTCAAAATAGGGTAACTTTAACATCAACTACATTAAGAATTGACGCATCAATGATAGTGTGTCGGAGTTTAACTTAAATTAACAGAATTAGGTAAGTGACGAGATGATTCCATTTACCTAAAAAGCGTTGGAAATGGAATCAGAAACTCCACAAACGTTTGCATTTCTGGGCGAGAATACCTTATCAACTGATGCGATTGTAATCACAGATTCTTTGTATTTTTAATGGTCGCGTACCACTTCAAGAAAAAATATTAGCAGAGATCCAATCTAAGAAAGTTAAATACTTTTATTTTGTGATGGACTTATTTATTGGTTTAAAAACTAGAATAAACCGATGATAGAAATCGAATTGAAATTAAGTACTTGGGGTATGGACCACACTCCAAATGTGAGGGTTAAAAATACTACACGGTTTCATAAACCGAATTAGGTAGGGTGTAATTAGAAACTGGGACTGAGTGGCTGGAAGTCGAACACCTTAGACATTAAGTAACTTCCGATATAACAAACAGATTCACTCCGAATCTCCATAGAAAGCAAGGTTCTTTTGACTCCGCCTCTGTCTACCTTTGAGATATTGTTTTTTTTTAAAAAGCGAATAGTTAAACACACACACTGCCGGCTAAAAATCTAGACGTGAGAAAAAATCAGATGAATTGAACAAACAGACGACGACTACTCCGTACAAAATTTGACAGAATTTTTGAATATAAAAACATTTTAATTCTTATGCTTACAAGGATGGAACTGTCATTTGATTGTAATAAGCCACAAAATTAACTAACTGAAATCATATAAGAAAACAAATTTCATAAAAACAAACCAAATTATTTGAAATCCACATACTTGATCGTTATTTATGCCAGATAAGTCTGATTGTGTAAGCGGCTGGATCAACTCTTCGATGTGTTCAATCAACTTAATCAATAACCAACAAGCAGGTCCTGGATCATCTGGTGGTGTGGTAAGTATTCGAGATCCTAGGCTAGTTGTATGAATGACATTTTCATCAACCTTTGTAGATCTCCAGGCAGCAGCAAGTTTTTCGGCATGGGCTGCTGAAGCTCTTTTAACGAGTGCTCCAGCAGCGCTTAAAATTCGCTGACGAGCAGCAGGACCGCACTGAAAAAGACATTTCGTCATTATTGTACCATGAAAGCAAGAATAAGAGCACACTTAGTATTACAAACAGATACATATAGATACACCGTTATATTGTAGTGAACGGTAACTCAGGTGGGGGGAAACAAATTTATCTTTGAATGCAACATTACAGTTTTCGCAAAATATGAAAACCATATACTGAACACTTCATTTGCACATCTCCCATCAGTTATCTCTTACAAACTTCGTGGTTCATTCAGTCCTGTTGTTATTACAATTACTCTCTGTTTACATTCCTGTACTCTCCAATTCGATCTTTTCAATCTTCTGCTGCCAGGCATTCCAGTTCTGATTGTCGTTACATACTACTACCTTCAACATAAGTAGCATGCACACAATATGTTTATATTCTTCATCTAGACTTTCACTAAGAATAGTCTGAATAAAATAAGAGACTGGTTCAATTAAGTTTTTTAATATTCCTAAAAGGACTAGAAACACAGTCATGACTAAATAAGTTAAGCTTAAAGATAACTGAGTGGCGTCTTTGAAACTCCAACCCGAGAAAGACATTGGAGACCAACACAACCGTCTTCATAAAACCACCTATTTTAAGCAAGTATCAATTTAAGGCATTAACAAGACATTGTAATTGATGATAGACACAAAATAGACCATATCGGGAACATTCGTCCCTTGAAATTATCGATAAGATACCACTATTTCTTTTGAGCTAGGACTTTCCATAGATGTTTCGGTTCACGTTCGCACACCACACATTAACAAGGCAGGAGTCAGCAACATTAAAATCAGAGAAGATATGACAGAGATATGCATTGTATTTTAAGACTAAGGGTAAGAAGCATTTTCAGAAAGACGAATGGGATCGAAGGAAATCAAAGTGTAGAATGATACTGATTTACAAGCTAAGAGGAATTTGAATATGAACCACTGCCACTGATTTCGCACTGGTAGTCAGTGACTTATGCAGTGACAGCTTATTTACCACTCACCTTTCAACACTATTCATAAGCTACGCAACATAGCATATTGATTGAATACGCGTGACATATGGCGCAAGCACGTCAGTAGACAAAGAACAACGTCATTCACCATAAACTTAACGTCTAGCTTCAACATCACTCACTTGACGGTTCCCCTACATTCAATTAATACTCAAAGGACCTTTTAGGTAAGACTATAATTTATGGACAACCCATGACCTTGAGATTCCCACATACTTACCAGGGTTAAATGAGAGTTATATATTAGTTTGAGAAACTAGGATTAGGATTTACAACTGAATGTTAGGTTTGGGAATTAGATTTACTGTTTTCATCACGAACTGACATCAGCTATATATCCACCGACCTGGTAAATCGCTGGACATCTGCTTTTCTTTTTTCCAACTTCGTAAACTTCCTGGGAACCCAGCGTTTAGTTACTTTGAAAATGAATGACTTAAGATAGCCTGGTGGGTTGAGCTTCAATCCCGGTCAGCAGTTAATTTCTAATTTATGGCTTCTAGAATACTATGAATAGGTGGGGCGGAATAAGAACATGAGAATTCGTGGCTAAAAGTCGAACGCCCTAACCGTTAATAAACTGGCGAAACCGAAGTGTTAAAGGGGATATACCAAGTACAGTCTATGTGAAGGATATTCACACTACTATACCATGACCAAAGTAGGTGTAGTAGTTTAAACCTAACCTACGGATTGAAGGCCGAGTACAACTACGGAACCATTCAGCGACAAGGCTAAAGTATAGATATCTTACAAGCGAACAAGATTCGACCAACAATGGCACTGACAAATTGAGTGTATTAACGTTGAAATACACAGATGTATGAGGTGTATAAAAATTTAAAGAAATTACCTCGAATCCACGACTTTGTGACCATTCCAAGATGAAAGTTAGAAGCTGCAGTGCTTTACAGCCGTCTACACTTTCAAATGACGAAGAGAAAACAGAATTCCATTCTCTAACCACTGCATGGGACAGACATCGACCAGCTTCATATAGCAGACAATCATTATTTGAACGAGCTTTAAAAATTCGAAAAGCGAATACGAATTCCGACAGTCATATTTATACTAATAACACTGGCTCATTGGTTTAAGAATAAACGCATTTGATTGATAGAACAAAAGCACCAGAGCAAGGAATCGTATCATTATTGTGAAGGAATAAAAAAGGCGAGAAACTAAGATATGAAAAATTAAATATTCTTAAAATTATCATGGCATGATTATATGAACGACTTGCTTCTTAGTACTTAAATATTCATATTACCCACATACTTCATAGGTACTGTATAATGACAGAAATTTCAAAACTTGTCACACTAATCAAAAACCCACTTGATGATGGAAGGGTTACCAGGATCTGTTTGGCGATGGAGTTGAAAGCACTGGTTCACGTAACCATTACCGAGAGTTTTGCCCCCATATGAGGTCACTAAAACAAAGCGGTATTTCGAGGAACAAATTAAATTGTCCTCCACTACTTGACTAAGGCTTGTGGAGAGCGAACCCAGGAGGACCAAGTTGTCTCTAGATCTGGACGTGAATACGTAAACCGTTCTTCAGTTCTGGAATCGGGACCTACCTACCGGTGATCATTATGGATGTAATTTCTGACCTTAGAAGGGCATTCAATCAGGTTGACCAAGACGTTCTATGATACTGTGAACCAAAATTTGGGCGGAGTATGTACGCTAAGACTACTCATGTCAATAAAATACGCTTAAACATGTTAGGCACACTCATAACTAATAAACAACTCACTTAAAATAACAGTGCAGATTTCGTAAGGCTCAGAGCATGAACGGAACTGTAAAATCTTCTCTTCTGCTCGTTTACGATCTTCCGACTTTACCGACAGCTTTTATTGAAAATATAATAGACTGAAAATGTTACCAGTTGTGCAGTAGCTGCATCTTCCAACTGCTTAAGTACATCATCCATCAAAAAACAAGCGATATCCAAACCGTCCGCCCGTCCGATATCCAATAATTGTCTCGAATGGTTCTGCACCGCATAGAAGAAACTTTTGCTTAACGAGCTTCCGTATCTAATAACAGTGGATCACCAGTGCTGCGAGATAGGAACCTAGGTATATTTAACGATAAAAGAAGGAAATATTAGATTATGGTGAGATATTGTCCTGTAGGGCCAGTGAAATGTCACTGAGCCCTAGCCAAATCATCCGGCAGTTGGATCACTGAATGTCGAACAGATCATCGCTCCCTGCCAAGGTCATGTACAACCAACGCACATTAGTTAATGGTATGCCATGGACTGGCCCATGCGGCAGTGGTCTTACTTTCGTTTGTATCTACCTTAACTAATATATTTCTGTAATAACGTCCTCTGTGTTGTAGTCTTCAAAGCATCTATGGTACCGTGATACGTCAATGGGGGTAGTCCACGTAAGGTGCTGACCACGAGGTTTGACTTCGACATTAGCTAGTTTGTCACACCATTCACGTCTAACTCGAGTAGGCCTCCAATCATTTCGACATGGATCATCTACGTTGGCGATCTACACTGGTGAGCCTTCAGAATATATCACGTTCTCTCTTAAGGACTACTGGAAAGTAGCTTGCACCAGCTAACCCAGCAGAGTATTCCGGAATTTTACAAGCCTCGAGGAGTAGAAGATGTGCATACACTCCGTTCTGTTGTGTTGTTTCCAGTTTCTGGCTGTTACCCCTAAAGTGTATGTCGTAACTAAGCTTAAGTAGGTGTTTAAGGGGATGTCCAAACGTGTTTAGGAGGTTTTAAGTCATTACAAGGCCATCTCTAAGAGCCCTGTACTCTAATGAGTAAAGATTCAGTGATTGAAAGTCCCCTTCATAACACTTGAATTTGAGTCCTCGAACCGATTTCGTAGCTCACGTCGGTTATGTTCCAGAGTGTCCTTATCCTTCTGGAGTGAGGGATAAAATACTACGTCTCCATATTCTAAATGTGAACGAATAAAACTAATGAAGATTATGTGAAAGTCCTTCCATCGGAATGGTCAAAAATGCGCTCCAGTGTTACCAATGAAAGGTTTGCACGGGAGATATTTTTGTCACGAGTAGCGTGAGACTTCAGATCGTAAGATGCCAACATATTTCAGATGAACTGCGTTACACTTTGAAGTCAAATCAGATCCTTCTGCAGTGCCAGCTTATCCTCCTGGTTGCATATTTCCACAGTTCCACATCATCAACGAGAGTAATGAATCGGAAGATACTTGTCGAGGGGGGTCATATGTATCAATTTAAAGAAGAAAAGATCCTAGCACTAAATCTGAAGGAACCCACAAGCTCATTCTGTAGCCTGAGAAAAAGTTAAAATTACCCTGACCTCAAAATGTCAATTATTGAAATATGAAGCAAGTTAATCAATTAACAATGACTTGATACCTAATTATTTGGGCTTATCGATAAAACATGTATAATTGGCCATATCGAAAGCTTCAGAGAAGTCAGACTATATGACATCAAGCTTCCCCTTGCGATCAAGGATGGTTGTCCATCTGTCCACCCCAGTCACCATGTTGGTTATACAAGAGTGACCTTTTCTGAAACTGTGCTGTTGCTATGAAAAGAAGTTAGTGAGTAGTATGTAGTCACGTAAAACGTGGCATTTTAGACACTATAATTTTTGAGGATATTGAGAAAAGTGGTACCACGTGGTAGGTTGAAGGCTCCCTGCGTCAATATTCTTTGAGAATTGGTGTAATGTGAGTCAGCTTCCAATATCCTGGTAATGTGCCTCGACTTAGCGAATGTTAGAACACCATGAGTAGAGGTGTTGCTAGAGACTGAAGCCAAATCTCTCAGTGTAGTAGAGTGAACCTTATCTGATCCGGGTGATGTGTCCTTGTCTAGGTATTGCGGTTTCTTATTCATGAGGTCGGCGCTCAGGTCTACTTCTGAGAGTCTTGATGAGATGCGAGTGGTGCTCTCGTTGACGTGGTTAGTATGAGACGGTTCAAATGTCTGAAAGTGTTGTTCTGTCAGAATGTCGGCGGCGCTACTGTCTTTATAGGTTTGGTCATTGGGACCCAACAATTAGGAAACTCTGGTTTTAAGTTGTCGAATAGAGGCTACACGGTGGAATTAGCAGATCTGATTGTTGATTAGTTTGTCGACCAGGTTTATGCGATACTGAGATGTCTTTTCTCACAGTCTTTGTGCATCTGTTCCTTGCTTGTTTGAACTGCTCATATGTGTTTTCGCTATTCTTTTTATATCCTGCTTAGTAGTAGTTTTTATGTTTAAGCATTCGATTAATGTTATTCTTCATATCATGAGTAATCTATTATTTTAGGATTTAGTCTATCATTATATGAACAAATGTAAATATACTTATTTCGAAACAGATAAATATTCCATATCGGTGGGACCGACTAAAGGAACACAACTTGCAGTAAATTCTCATTTTCACTTCTACTTTATCGATTGATTCTTTCTTATGTTGAACCATTTTTATATTCATCTGTTGAATAATGCTCATGCGCATTGTATTTTGATATTGATTAATACTCGTAGTTTACTAGCTCCAACAATACCAATAACTGACCACTCACGAGCGGATTAGTTATGGTGATTATGTAACGAGCTTTATTAACGTCTACATGCTTCAGTGTTAGACTCTTTAAAACATCAACCATTAGCAATTATTGCTCTTAGTCGACGTAAATATACAAAGGCAGGTAACTGATACAAGCAAATTTTGGTTAGGTATCTGATAAGTCTTCTAACTGAATGCTAGATTCGGTTCCTAAGCTCTTCTAGTAACCCCGGGCTAGATCTACACAGCAACTTGAACACAAGAAAAAAGGGACTGAATACAGAATAAACGCTTTACTCCAAAAGTTCGCTAATATGCAGAAAATCTAGGGTTTTTATAATGTTCCAGGTGGCCTGGGGATTCCGGGAAATTCCAGAACTCCACTAAACGTGGTGTCAGTATAGGTAATCATCCAATCAAAAACTTGACATGTGACTTTTCACTTCATAGATGTTTCTGGCGAAACTTCTAATGAATGCTGATTGGATAATAAGCTTCTCAATGTTTTCAGAGCATTTTCGGCTTTTTTCGAAGAGTTTTCTGGATCTCCCCAACACCTCACTCTTTCAAAAAATAAGATCTCTTCTTCGTGTCTACCCGAAGTTTGATAACTAGTTTTCTACAGCGTTTGGACTTTATTGGTATCCAGCGTCTATGAGCGTCTGTTAGGAATCCTGTTATTGGAGTATCTGTAATTATCTCCAGTCAAAGATTAACTCGACTACCTACCGGGTTTAGCGTCCGTTCTTCTCTGTGTATTTGCTAATCCATGTGTCAAAAGTTCCACGCGCTTTGTACAAAACATTTACCATTCTCTTTTCTATGACTCCCGATTCCTGACGATTTTTCTCAATGCATGGCTCGACAAACACTTTATCGCTCACTTTAAAATTATGGATATTCTGATATTCTCTGCGTCCATCCAATGCTTTAGGTGGTAACATGGCGTTGAATCTCGTTCAGATGCTCCGTCCGGACATCACTTCAGCAGGGGACGGGTTTGTAGAATTATGGTCCACGGCTGCAAGGCCGATTCATGCCATTCGACGAACTCCAACTCATTCAGCCCATAGTTCCCGCCTTCTGCAGCAGTAGGTATTTCTCCGCGTTAAGTATTGAATATCTATTTTCCAAGTTGTCTCGTGTTCAGCTTTGAGGATTGTGTGGTCTCCTCATCATTTGTGAAATATGGTAGTAGAGAACTCCCACTATTTTGTTTGGAACTTTTCAACCTATCTATGAAATATGGGATCTATACATCTGTATGGAAAACATCTCTTATCACCCTTAGATTCAAGATCACGTAGTGATATTGTTGACCATAGGCCAATTAATTTAACATCCGTGCTCTCAAGAAACATGAAAAAATCATTCACAAACATCTATTATCATTTTTACTTTCGGCTAGTCTGATTAGCCCATCTCAACACGGGTTCATGACTAAACGCTCAGGTTTCACATCGCACCTGGAATTTTTGATCGAATTACCCAGAGAAGAGATGTTGGTCAGTCAGTGATAATTCTTTACTTCGATTTTAGTAAGGCTTTCGAAAGTGTCTCACACAAACTTCTTCTTCTAAAACTCTCTTCATTTGGCATACAGAATCCGCTTTTATCTTGGCTCAAATTTTTTTTAGAAGAACGTAACCAAACAGTTCGCTTCGGGTCTCGCTACTCTCAACGTGTGAATGTAACTAGTAGGGTTATACAAGGAAGTGTGATTGTTTCATCACTCCTTTTATACAATGAGGTATGTTTCCACTTTCACTATGGTAATTTTTTTCTTTTTGGCGATTACCTGGAAGTAGTTTATTCATTCTCTTCTCCCACGAAAGAAAGCTATAATTCAGCGGTAATCCAAGAGGAAATAAACAAGTTATACAAATGAACTGTTTCGTGGAATATGCCACTTAATGTTGACAAAAGTGGATATATTCACATTGGCCGTTGCCTTAACTTAAATCTGACTGTACACAAACATACACTCAAACCTTTCAACACTGTTCGTGACTTGGGTTTAAGATATAGCAACAGTCTAAACTTATCTGAGCATATTGCATCTCAAGTATCCAAAGCTAGAAAAATCATTAGAGTAATAATGATAAAATTCAATGGTATCGAATTGAGAATGCATTGTAGCGGTAAATAAATCCCCAAAATAAATAGCACTAAGTTTTCGACATTGGATGCTGACCATATGTTTTAGTGGACTCACCTAGCTGAAGGCGCTCGGTCAGTCATCCGCACCAGATCACGTGTGGTAACGCCGTGCTCAACATCTACCGCAATCGCTAGCCAGATTAGATCAGAGAATTCCGATATATTGGTCGTCGCCAAATATACTCTTCTGATCTCCTCGACTCTGTCTTTTGATTTCTCTGGGTGGGAACGAAATATAT